AGAACTTCCAAACAGTACGTGCAGCGCCCATCCCGAAGGGGAGCTGGGATGTGGCTTCCATGCGCTTGTCCAGCTCACCCCAGGTCTGACTTGAACCGAGATTTTCCTGCTCAACCTGCCTGGGAGCTGAATGTCCCCCTGGGACCCTTCCCATCCCCAGTCACACTAAGCTGCCCCGAGTGCTGTAGTTGAGTTGCCCACCTGTCATACATCTGCACTCCTCACCCCACTGATGATGCGGAAGAACAAGCCAGAAAGATCCCAGCTTGACTCCCATGTCCCAGGCTGGGTTTGTGGGGTTGTAATCCCATTAAAGTCACCTTCTTCTTCCTTCCTGCTTGCAGATGCTGGCTCAGCCAGGACAGAGGTTTTCATTGGAGCTTCCTGGGTCCAGTCTGTGCCATAATCCTGGTGGGTACCTCCCAGAACCACAGGGCCCCATTCTCCTCTCACCTCTGCGACCCCGTTGATTTCAGTGAAGCAGGGAGGAGAATGTGGCCCATAAAACACAAGGAAAGACCCAGTTAGGTCCCACCTGGCTCATCTGCTGTGGTCAGTCCCGGGATTAGTCCCTGTGCTGTATCCCCAGGCCTACAGCCTTTACTCCGGCACAGCTCCCATGGACGTCAGTAGGAGTTTTGACAAGTGAAGACAACAAGAGTGTGGTCTTGTCTAGTTAATGACCCAGTGAACGAGGAAGGGAGGGGACTATACTCTGGAGCAGTTTTTGTAGTGGCAGAAAGAAATGTCCCTATGTATTCCTCCCTACAAGTTGGGGGGGGGGGGGATTTGTAACAGCCTGAAAGTGGCAGGAAGTATTCTAGAGGCAGGATTTGGAATCTTTGAGCCAGATCCTGCTCTCAGTTACCAGTGTAAACCCGAAATAACTCCTGACTCCACTGGAGAGGCTCCATATTTAATTCTGAGCAACATCTAGCCTCTGTGATCCCATTGATCCATCTCAGCCCTGGCTGTGCTGTCAGCTCCACGCATGGGGAGGGACCGAGAGCTGCCAGGAGATATTACAGGAGAGGGGATGATTCCCATAGGAAATGAGCAGTCCCCGGTTCTGCAGTGTTCGGATCAGTCTCCTGGGATCGTTCTCTGCCTCTGCTGGAGTCACCGGCCCCGGATGGGATGTTTTACAGGAAATATTTCCCAATGTTCCCACAGATAAATATAACGTTCTTTGCGCTGACACTGTGGATCCTGAGAAACAAACTCTCCTCCCTCAATGCAGATGTGTCCACCCTCAAAAACCACAGGTGAGATGGCAACAAAACAGTCCTGGAGGGTCAGATTCCTTGGTATCGAACGTCCTTGGTACCGGGAGGAAGTGAGGGATTGCAGGAGGGGAACACATATCTAGGATGCATAGGAATGAATTCCCATAGTGTTTTCATTGACAGGAACCCTGTCCCACATAGGAAAACAGGGGCCGGTAGCTCCACCCCACTCTGCCCAGATCCTCCTGACCCAATTGCTCTCCGTAGGGTTATTGTAACGGGATCTCTCCATCTGCCTTTATCCAGGTTACTGACCTTTAAAGCCATCGCCCAGCTCTTCATTCTGGGCTGCACATGGAGCCTTGGTCTCCTCCAAATCGGCCCAGCAGCCACGGTCATGGCGTATTTATTCACCATCGTCAACAGCCTGCAGGGAGCCTTCATCTTCCTGGTGCACTGTCTCCTCAATCGCCAGGTAATGCCCACGGCCTGTCAGCACCCACACAGCACCTTTACTGGCCTCGCGCCGGCCATGTCTGATCTTCTCAGCATTAGTTACATAGTGCAGTGACCGTGTCCCTCACTCTCCAGGTGAGAGAGGAGTACAGGAGATGGATCAAGGGATTCCGAATGTTCTGTACGAAATCTCAGTCAATCGATATATCCATGTCTGCTGTCCCCACCACCAGCACCAAGACGGTAAGAGGTCCTCTGCTCTGTTCTAATACTAGTCTGTGAAACAGTCATCTCTATCTGGGGCTCATTAATGCTGTAAAGGTGATTTGCCCCCTGAATGATGCAGGATTGGTTATGAGCCAGGTGGGAACGTCACTGCAAGTGTTAGTGAGAGTCGGTCACTATCGAGGGGTATCCTAGATGTCTTAGGCACCAGAACAGAATGTCCTGTCCTGGCACCTCCGCATTCCCTTCCCTTGACTATCCTGGGAGCTCCAGGGGTCACTCACTTTGGACTAGGCAGGCATTATCTAACAGGGCGGCCGGCCGGATGGTGTCACTTACGTGGGGCTCTGACAGCCAGACAGAGCCCCTCCTCCTCTCCCCTGCAGCAGAGATCACTTCCTCCCTCCCTCCCTCCCTGCATTCGCAGATCGCCTCCGGCAGTCTGGAGCTCCTCCCCCGCTGCCCAGCGTGCCGGAACTAACGGCTCCGGCCGTTCCTAAGCAAGTTCACAGAGACATTAGGTGAAGGCCAACAACAAGGGAGCCAGGGGGTCGGAGAAGGGGCAGGGAGGTTCTGGATGGGGCAGTCAAGAGACGGGGGGGTCGGGAGTTTGGAGGGCTTTCTGGGGGTGGGGATGTGGATAAGGTTTTGGGCAGTCAGGGTAAATGGTAGGGGGTAGGGTCCTGAGGGGCATTTGGGGGGGTCTTAAGAGGGGGCAGTCAGGGGACAAGGAACAGGGAGGCTTAGGTAGGGGGTGGGGTTCTGGAGGG